TATGACTGCCAGTATAGAAAAGAAAGGCCAAAAACAAATCTTTTTTATAGGAGGGTGAGGAATGAACATGCTGTAAGGAGGCTAAAACACTTTGTAATAATTCTTTAGTATATTACTTGTGTGGTGTAGAAGAGAATCATTTACTGCTTGCAAACCAAGGATGGTAAGATGATGTCATGGGGTAGGACTGGATAAGTCTGACTTCTTCCTACTCCATTCAAGCATGTACTAGGTATAAGCAAATTGATATTGGATTAGCATTTGTTGGATATGTGTAAAACTATGTGTGTTGACATATCAACTGTCTTTACATGCTTGAAAGAATAAATCAAATCAAATCAAAAAATCAAACCTCATGCCGCTGTAGCCAGTACATTAATAACAGCATTCATTCGGGTTGTTGTCAAGTTGAAGGTGACAACAGGAATGTTACTAGGTCAGATCTAGAAAGATTACTGTTGTAACTTTTGCATAAGGGCACTTCTGCCCACAGCCATCAGATTAATGTAAAGGGGTGCGTGTTCCTTCCTTCCTCGATTGTGTTTCATGTCTCACAACCATTGCACTTTATTTTTGGAGTACTGACTTTGATCTGAATGAATTGTTTATCCTGTTGTCATTCTAACATGCAGATGTCAGAGAAAATCAAGGAGTTGGAGAGATCAGCTCTAGCAGAGAAACCCTGGCAGTTGTCCGGAGAGGTGACGGCGCAGGCTCGTCCAGAGAACAGCATGCTGGAGGAGGATGTAGAGTTTGAGCAGACATCTAGGATACGTGAGTGACTCCTCTGTCTTTGTGTGTTACATTCAGCTTGATAAGCGGCTGTGTCCTATTTTGGAGTTATCAAATAATTCATACCGGTGTAATAATATTGTAAAATGAAGGTTACTGTTAAAGCTTCTTTCACTATACTATTTCAAATCACACACTAAGATTTATCTGTGCTCTTCTAGCGCCTGCTATCACAGAAGAAGCCACACTACAAATTGAAGACATCATCAAACAGAGAATTAAAGACCAAGTTAGTCACAATAACTTGTTTTATATTGTCTGAAAAAAATATAAGGCGTTTTTGTTGTTGATCTTTGACTTGTGTTTCTCTAGGCATTTGATGATGTGGTCCGCAAGGAGAAACCCAAAGAAGAGGTGTTTGAGTACAAGAAGAGGTTAACATTGGACCATGAGAAGAGCAAGCAGAGTCTAGCTGAAATCTATGAGCAAGAATATCTGAAGCAGACTCAGGTATGACTTTTATCTTGTTTTCAGTTCTGCTCCAACAGACGAGTCCATGTCTGATGTATGTTTTCTGGCTTCAGCAAAAGACAGAGGAGGAAGAGAACCCAGCTCATGTAGAAATTCAGAAGCTTATGGACACACTCTTCCTGAAGTTGGACGCTCTCTCCAATTTCCACTTTACACCTAAACCAGTAAGTTGTACCTGATTGTACCACATGTGTCTAATATATTAAAATAGTCCTTTTGAACAATTAAAAGTTACTATGTCACAGAAATCACTGGCTTATTTTACATAAAGATGTTGTGTTGGATTTTTATGTTAAATCTAACTCTGGTTATCCTCAATGTAATCTGATTAAGCATTAAAGTTTTGAATACCTAAAAATATAATGTGCCATCACCTTACCCAACATATCTGTAAGTAGAGCAATTGTATACAACTGAAATGAAGTAAACGGTAAACATCAACTGATCATTTGAACAGGGTGTACTGTAAAGGGTGGCCAGTGCAGTTACTGAAAACCATACTCGTGCTGCCTTTTGTCCACAGTCTGTTCCTGAGGTCAAAGTCGTGTCTAACTTGCCATCCATTACAATGGAGGAGGTGGCTCCAGTCGGCACTAGTGATGCTACACTGCTTGCACCAGAAGAAATCAAGGTCTGTCAGCAAGTCTATGTTTAAACGTTTACTTTGATATTGGTGAATTCAGTTAAACAGCATGTCTAATAATACTATCCTATAACCAAAGGAAAAGAGCAAGGCAGGAGATGTACTGGGTAATACTGAGAAAACGTCAACAGACAAGAAGCGTGAGAGACGCCACAAGAAGAAGGTGAAAAGACTAAAGATCAAGGAGAAAGAAAAGAGACAGAAACTTAAAGCAGCAGGTACAACTGGAGTGAACAAAAAGCCATCGAAGGCTGAGCTCGCAGAAAACCTGAAGAAACTCACAAAAGGAGGCAAAGCGACGATACTCAAGGTGAGCATTATCTCAGTTCACATCCTGGTCACACATAGTATCTCAGTAGGAAATTAGCCTGTTCAGAATTAGCAGTTAATAGCTTTTGGCATTAGAAGATATCAGCTGGATAAACACAACTGGGATGATATGAACACAATTTGTACCCCAGATAATTAACTGAGCCAAATCCCACACTGAATTCTAGGTATATAAAGATGATGAATGACTTCCCTTGTTGTAAAGTTGCACACTAACGCATTTACTTAAGAACTGTACATTTTTTTTTGTTATTGTACTTGAGTATTTCCATTGTATGCCCCTTATACTTCTCTTCTTCTACTTCTCTGTATTTGAAGTCAAATATTGTACTTTTTGCTCCATCACATTTGACAGCCGCAGTCACTAATTAATATAGTTTTAAATTTCACATGCAAACCCTATAAACACCATAAAAAACGATGCATTATTACAGATCAGTCTATATATAAAATTGTATTAAAAAAACTAGCTCCCATTAAATTTTGACATTTACTAGCGAGTACCCTACATTGTGGTATCGGTACACTTAGGTAATAAAGACGGAGTTCTTCTACCCCTGATTGAAACCAAAAAAAAAAAGAATGCTTCCAAGAATAGAAGCTGGTATGAGCAGTCAGCTGTGCTGATGCTATGTCAAAGAACCAGTTTGTGTGTTAGCTGCATATTTCTGTCACAACAACAGTAGGTCATCTGTTCCAAGTTGTCACACCAATGGCTCAGTCTTTGCTTCCACTACCCAGGCACATCACACTTTTTAATGGCAAAATAAACATCACACTACTTCTTAGATAATAATGTGTATGTTGCTGAGGTAACTGAACTAACATGTTTCTCTGTTTCAGGATGAAGGGAAGGACAAGGCTCTGCAGTCCTCGCAGGCCTTCTTCTCTCAGCTGCAGGACCAGGTCAGGTGTCAGATCAAAAGTGCAAAGGACCAGTCTTCAAAGAAGAAGAAACACAAAGAGGTTTCTGTCACCAAGCTCAAGTTATAACAACTGCAATAGTTTGTGTAAGATTAACTTTTTATTGTACAGATGCTTTTTTAATATAAAAGCTGTAAGACATAACATTTGAAAGTCTTTGTAAAATGTTTTCATTTTCTTTCAAATCAAAGTGCACATTTTCAAATGTAATAATAAATGTTGATTCACATGAAAATATTAGAGCACTTTTCTTTATGGAAAGGATGTACATTGCCTGTTTGAAGACCCTGGCTTTTCATAACTAGTAGTATCTTATTAGAATATTATAGCAGAAATATTCAATGTAAATAATACACTGTATGTGTACATGTTTTTATTTCTAGTCTATAGGCATTATTGAAAATATCTTACTGCAACAATCTAGAATAGTTTGTGTTGGCCTGTTCTGTAACAGCCCTTGTTAGTGGCTTTACATTTAGTCAGCTGAAAAGCAGATACTGTAATACCAAACTGAGTTCACCTGTGTGAAAACAGTTTTTAGGTTTAAAAGACCTTAACCTGGTACATGTTTTTCACATTGTCAGGGATGGAATAAATTGTCAAGGTAATAATACCCCATGGACATTTAATATATTCCTTGCCTCAGTCAAAGTGATTGTTTCAGTAAAATATATTAACGTATACTGTATAAGAATGAAAAGCACACCCTGTAAAGGACTATGAATGTAGAGGATTTAAAAGCATAATAAACCCATTAATATATAAAGTAGCAAAAAATGAAAACAGTATAGTACTTGAGGAATGCTAGCCAAGTTAATGAAATAAGTTATTGCATAAACATTTGAAGAAAGGCTAATGTATAATGTTTTTTTTACAGTATTTACACTTTTTTAGAAATCAAACTTATGCCAGGGGTTAATTTGGTTTGTGCAGTAGACAGTGCAGTATTGTCCTTTAAAATATAAATTCGTAAAAGTAAAAACGGCAACACTACAGGTTACAAGAAGTAGCCTGTTGATTCCCGTTTGACAGTGTGAGGCCCCGCCCATATGGAAAATTCCCACGACGTCACGCAAGATCATCACGGAAGTAAACGAGGCGACGAAACAGAGAAACCCAAATAAGTTGGTGTCTACGCTTGACTGATATTCACCGGTAAGTTGCTGTCGGCGTATAAAGAGCTGATCATACTGAAGTGATTCAATTCTTCTAGTTACTTGAAGGTGTTTAATTAGTTTGTTTTAATTTTGCTAGCACTGGGTGAATGCTAGGTAGCTAGCACAAACAGAAGACTGCTAACAAAGCAAAGGCTAGCTAATAATCGTATTTGGCATTATAGATAAAGGTTTAGCTTTCTAAATGTGTACATTAATATAGTTACGCTTATAGTTTAACAAAACAAGAAGTAAAATAGTTTAGATTGTATTGTGTAAAGTTACACGGCTTAGCCTCTTTAGCTGTCCGTCACGTCTGGCTAAAGCTAATTGTTTTGAACCATTTTTAGCGTGTGACGTTAACAATTTATCGTTGGTAAGCTAACAATGTTTTCATTGTGCTTGTGAGTATGTGTGTGTGTTTATTTGTTTGGAATACCTAAATCTGTGGAGTCATTCTTTGGCAACGGGTTGGTCATGTTCACATGATTAGCTAAGTGACTCATTGGAACAAAGGAGGGGACGAGGTCAGGTGAAGTCTGCAGGTTGGTTTCGGCTGTGCCAGGTATGCTTCTCTTCCTTAAATGCTTTTCTGTTCCCAGATAGTTTATCATCATGCTGGGAGGAGGATTCAAAGCAGAGAGGTTACGAGTTAACCTTCGGCTGGTCATCAACCGACTCAAACTTCTTGAGAAAAAGAAAAGTGAGTCCTGGGTTGAATAAAAACTGGTCTCCTACAGTTGACATAGGATCAGTGGATTCTTGTTTGCTAGAGAAGTGCATTTTATTTTTATGTTCTTCACTGTAATAACAGTTTACCGTCTCCCATTCCTATTCATAATTTAAAATGAAGCTGAGCTTGCTCAGAAAGCAAGGAAGGAGATTGCAGATTACCTGTCATCGGGAAAAGATGAGCGGGCACGGATTCGCGTGGAGCACATTATCAGAGAGGACTATCTGGTTGAAGCCATGGAAATACTGGAGCTTTATTGTGATCTGCTGCTGGCTCGCTTTGGCCTCATTCAGTCTATGAAGTGAGTACTGAAATATTGATTGTATTCATAATGTACATAAATTGTTAACTATGGATAATATAGGGCCTTTCTGCTTTATCATTAGCTGAGCCTCTACCTGTCACAGTGATCATCCCTGTCAACCCCTTTTCTGTCCTTAAAAATAGGGAACTGGATCCAGGCTTACAGGAGGCAGTGTCCACCCTCATCTGGGCAGCACCTCGTCTTCAGTCAGAGGTGTCTGAACTAAAAATTGTAAGTACTGTTTAAACATAACATAGTACTGGTGGCATTTCCAACAATTTAAAACATGAAAAAACATTGTCAGTTTATTCCTAATAGGCCAGTTTTGACAGTCTTACCTCTGAATTCTTTATTAGGTATCTGAACAGCTATGTGCTAAATACAGCAAGGAGTACGGCAAGCTGTGCAGGACAAACCAGATTGGCACGGTCAATGATAGGGTAGGCACTTTTCCCACCTACTCCCCACATATCTGTTGCGCAAATCTTTAACACTGTTGGCACCATCTAATAAGATGTCTTATATGCTAACATGCTTACAGCTAATGCACAAACTGAATGTGGAAGCCCCTCCCAAGATTTTGGTGGAGCGCTACTTGATAGAGATTGCCAAGAATTACAATGTGCCCTATGAACCTGACGCCATGGTGCGGGTGAGCGTTTAAAATCAGTTATCTCTTAGTACGTATGGTGAAGTCATGCATTCCTGTCTATTTACTTAATCATCCACCCCTGCCTCCATATAGCCTGAGGTGTGTCCTGGAGAGGAGGCAGACCTGATTGATGTGGACACTGACAAAAAGTCTGGAGGAGGAGGAGGAGGAGGAGGAGGTGGTTTCACTGCTCCTCCTATGCCCATGCCCATGCCAATGCCCACCATGCCTATGCCACCAGCTTTCAACTATCAACCTCCCAATGCAGCTGTAAGAGCTTCTTTAGAATAGCACCATTCTTTATGATTTTGTTATGTGAGTTACACATGTGGTGTTAGTAACTGATTACAATAGACCCCTATTTTGTTAGTCAATGTCATGATTTTTGTGGGCAGAGCATAGCAGGAGGCAAAATAATTTCCTTAACACATTAGCTAACATTAGATAGTAAGTTTTGTTGTCTTGTACTTTAACAATGGCTGAAGAAAATAGTTTAGCTGAATATGTATGGTTCCTCACTCTCCAGGAGTGCAGGTGTTAAAATGAACATTAACCAGCAGGACCAGATTTGCTGAGCCTTGCAACGCTCTTTCAGTGGATAGATGATCTGGCAGGCAGACTGTTTTCATTCATAAAATTCGCTCACATAAAATAAGACGTAAATGAAGATTGCTATCAAAACATCAACCAAGCTTATTATTAACTACAGCACTGGTTTGTTGGTTGGCTATTTATAGCTCCCAGTGGGGGATAGCAAATGCAGCTTCTTGAATGCACACCTGGAACAGATTAGTTAGCTAATGAACTTGTTACAAAAGAAATCACCTAACATTATTCCTTCTAGTTCCCCAATTTCTTATTGTCAGGTGGGCATGACAAACCTCTAGACATTGCATCAGTCCAGTCCTTTCATTTTGACTGGCATCTGGTATGCCATAAAATAACACAGTGAGATTATTTTCAGTAGTTAATTTAGCCTTACATCATGAATGTTTCCCTCTGGTTTTTTTTTCGTATTGTTTCCAGCTAACCGTATATGTTGTCATATCAAATAACCATGCAGTGCAGTTACCTTTGGGTTCGATATTATCTGAAGAATTTATGTAATCCTCAAGTGAAGTTAAAATTCAACACACTTCAGATAGAAAACATGCTTCTGTTACTACAACATCTCTTTAAAGAAGGTGATGATGTTTTGAGCATTCTTATAAGTGGGTTTAACAGGGATATTTAACCTGAATCACAGAAAACTAATTTCTAACCAAAGCTGCCCACAGAGAGGTTTGTTGATTATTCTTAGTCATGTATTTTTGTGATTTGAATAAACGTTTTAGGTGGCACAGTGGTCACGGTGCTTAGTGTTGTCACCTCACAGCAAGTGTCAGCCCAGGGTGTACCCCGTCTCTCGCCCAGTGTCAGTTGGGATTGAAAACATCTGAAAACAGTTCTATTTTTTATTTTTTATCTTTACTTTCAGTGTCTTGACTGAGATGAGTATTACAAATTCACAGTAGTCAGCTGCCTTTCCCTGTTGTTTTTCCTCAGGGCCCATATAATGCTCCTGTTGGAACCTACAACAGCTTCCAGCCCCCTATGGGAGGAGGGCAGCCTCCTCAGTTGCCCACTTCTCCCCCCACATACGAGTCTGTAAGTGACCAAACCCCTCCCATCCATGCCCCCTTCCTGTCCTCACAGATGGACAGACGGACAGGGCAGGGCACCACTCAGGGAAGAGCAGTTTGTTTCGTTTGTTTACAGTTTTTGCCTGTGCTTTGCACTTTTGCACTGCGTTATTCTTAGAGTAGGCACAGATTCAGCTTCATTCACATGGATACAGGTAGCATGAAGTGCTAAAACTGTAACTAATAACTGTGGCTTAGTCAACTGCTCTGAGTGGGATTGAAATAGATATGTGCATTTTTCAGAGCGCTTAGCCGAGCTAACGCCTAAAATCTGAATTTGTGCCATGCACTAAAGGTGATGGTCTCTCTATTTTCTTGCTGTTTGTACTTTGCATTGTTAAACTAAATTGTTCCTTCTTTTTCAATACTAACACGTAATATTTTATTTCAATATGACGACTACACAATCTTTAACACATTTTCTCTGTGTTGCAGATTGATGACCTAACTGACAACTCTTCTGTTCCCCCCCAGGCTGTAGGTAAGTTCTGCTAACAAAAGCCAACAGTTAGAAGATATAGCTGGTGATATTCTGTATCCAACTAAAAGACCAAAACAAATGGTACAGAAGACTTGCAATGATTTCCAACCTCCCTGCCCTGTCTGTGGCACTTTGTATTTACAGCTGAGGGGCAGTGTAGTGGTATAGTATCAGACACGTCACCTAACAGTGTGTCTTACCGATGTATTTTTAATGCTTTTTGACCAACAATAATAGAGGTCTGTTGCACTTTGCCATCACAGGCTGTTCTCATTGGTTTTGATTTCTCATATGATTTATTGGTGGGACAAAAAATACAGGATATCACTAGATTCTTTAAATATGATTGAAATGATCCCCTAGGTCTTTATTGTCAAAAGAGCATTTATCCATTCAGTTATTTCAATTTTCTGTTGAGTAGTTCTGCTGTATGACTTTCTATTATGTCTTGTTTACATTTTTGTTATCACATGCAAATCCTTCATTTCCCACTGCATGTGAAGAACTCACCACCGTTACATTTTCTGCTGTTTTGTATACTGATTCATAAATGATATTGAATACCATATATCACTCTCCAGGTCCTGGTCCTTCATCTAAGCTCTTTGACCACAACGCTCTCCCAGATCTCCCCTCTGTTCCTGACACACTCCCCACATCCTCCTTCGGGGGAAACACCGCTACCTCGGATGACATCGACTTCGACGATTTAACACGGCGGTTTGAGGAGCTGAAGAAGAAGACCTAATAGCTCTGTCCCTGGTCTAGACACGCACACATATACACACAGGCCTGTGTCGTCATTACCCAGCTCAGACCAGGAAATGGAAAATGTTCAAGGCTCTGAATCAGATTTGAAAAATTCACCCCCTTCCATGGTGAAGTAAACTTACACAGATACTAAACATACATGTATTTTTACCTTTATTACTTTACTGTATATAAATATGACCAATTCAATCATGGGGTGAAGTGTCACTTCTGTTGGTAATATCAGTGAGTACCCCATGTTTTAATTTGATGACACATTATATAAATTCCTACATAAAACATGCAGGTATTGACCCCGTTCACTCCTCATTTATGGTCTCACCCACTTTTAACTTTTTCTGTTTGTGTGATATTACTGGCTAATCAAACCTAGATTTAATTGTTGCTTAACTTAGGCTTTTGTGTCTGACTGCTATTTACAATACATGCCTTGATTCTTCTTTGCACATGCTGTGTGGCTCTGATCTTTGCCGCTGTGTCACCCACTCTCAGACCAGTCAAACAAGCCTGACTGGCAGTCCCAGTTTGATGAGGAGCTGGTGTTCTCATAAACAAAACCTAGAGATTATTTTAGAGGTGAGGCTCCAGTACCAAACAGTTTTTTTTCTCTTTTTCATGAAGGTATAACTGATAGAAGCCATATTTTCTGTGCTTTGGGAAGTCATGTGGAAAGGATTTGAAAAGCTCTTAATTCACTGAGGTTTTCAAACGTCAAGGTTTATTTATACCAGACATAAAGTGAATGACACCTTCCAGGGGTGACACATTCACTCAAACCTCTTTTGTTCATCTGTTACGGGGAGGTGGGGCACCGATGCAAATGTGTAATATAATAAATATATTTACATGAATGATTAACTGTACAGCAAAAAGAGTTTAGTAGTAGGGAGTTGTTCAATATTTGGCAAATCTGTTTTTATATACAGTATCTCAAAAATAAATTTTTTTTTTGCTCTTTTGAATGTCAGTTTTACTAAATACCTGCACTTTCTTATCACTGAAGTACATTTACAAGGAAAATGTGTGCAGACAAAAGCAGTCACACAGGAACCTAATTTGACTGATCAGATGCAAATATTGTGTGTTCTGTGTGCATGTGTCTTATATTGTATGTGCACCACTGCATTTGCCTTAGTTTACCATCTCTTATCAGAGGCCTTGCCAAGTCTTTACTAGGATTAGACATCTTATCCATCAAGACTGGACACAACTTATCTTTCAGTTGGTGAGATTACACGTTTTGTTTTACCTTCTTTAAAACCTGCTGTGTTGATATGTGCATATTAGACGAAAACAATCTGTGCTGTTTTCTGCGGGGAAATAGAAGTTGGGGGGGGTTGTTGTTGTGCAGATGTGATGCATCACTACAACTTAACCACGCCCAGCTCTGCTTGCATGACAAATGAACAGTGGCCTTGAATAAACTGATCCAGCAATCTCTGGAAAGCACATTTAAAAAGCTTTCTGGCTCCATGATAGATGCCGCTTATTAGCAGGTTTTGGATACATGTAATATGTGTTAGAGAACGTGGAAGTAGACAGATTAACACTACACTACTGTGATCTCACTCTCTTTTCTATGTTGGACTGTTCATTCTAAACCTTGAGACACAAAATTGTGTCTTGTTGCAAAAACTAAAGAAAAGAGATTTTCCACTGTATACTAAAATAGCAATTTAATAAAAGATTATTTGGAACTGGACAATGGTAAGGTTTCTGCATTATTTGCACATACATATACTGTACATCCTCTGCTTTGTTCTGTAATGTCAAATGGTAACCAGCAGGGGTTGTCCGTGCAATGTAAAGAATCATTCCTCTAGTGAAACGTGCTTGAGTAGCAGTGACCTAAAACAACAGGTTAGGGGAATCTATTCACCTCGATGCATCCTTGTAATCCTGCATCATATTCAGGCACATTTTACCTGTCAAACAACATTTCAGGGCCTTTGAGAGGGCACAGGCGGGAGCAGCTGTTTGCATTCAGGCTATTAGCCTGCATGATTTTAGAGATCATCACAAACGGCTTAAAACGTGAGACAAATTGTTGCAGGTTGGCTCATTATGTAAAGCAAAATGAAACACATGAGGCATTTCTAAAAGAGTCTTAGATGATGTCCACTAGAATAAGATGCTGAAAAACGGGACCTTGAAAGCTGTGGGTGTCTTTTATGTTGAAGTAATGTGAAAATTGTAGATATGCTGTACCATAGTTTTTATTTAAATTATTTAGACTTTCAAATTTCAAGACTTAGCAGCTACTCTCTGGATGCCTGCAGAAGTTTATTGAAGTTCACACATACATATTGGATCAATAAATGACAAATAACTCGGTAATGTATGATTAAATAAAAGCACAAAAAATCTTCAAAGGTTATTACTCACAAAAGCACAAACTTCAATGTAGTTAAGTCTGTTAAATCATTCAGAGGGAGGTTAGACTGAATCAGGAGTTGAAAAGTAACAACGTTCACCTTCAGCAAGAAGCATGAAACAGTTCAAAGTGATCAATTAATAATTGGCTCGTGTAGTTTCATAAAAGAAACATACCATGTTTCTAAATGTAAAATGTTGTGTACAACTGGTGGTTGGTCCTCAAACGCTGTGATGACTAGTCATGTTGAGAGCAAAAGGCTGTGGCTGTTAGGAGTCCAAATGCTAATCACATCCATTTTTCTTTTGATAGCAAGTCATTTTGTCAACAATAAATATCACAAAGGTTTATTATTTTCATGCTAAAACAAAAAGGACTCAGCTTTTCCCCCTTTCCGTTGAGAAATATCATTTAGAAAGATAATTTTCCAATAAAATGCTCCATTGCATCTAAATAAAGAAGGGGGGGGGGAATGCGCTATAATATTAAAAATAAAAATACATAAATATTTTCTTTGCATATTGTACAGACCTTATAAAGAGAGGTTGAGAGAGAGAGAACAGGGCTTATATTGAGTTAAATATTTGATTACATTTTGCTTTTAAAATAATTCAATGAATCTAATTCTATGCATCTTGAACCTGTAAAATGGATTCTACCAACTTTATCTTGACATGAAATTAACAGTGTCATCAGAACTGAATAAAAGCTGCTTAAAATAAACTACTAGAGAGTTTCTTATGTGCACATGGATAGTACAGGATGAGAAAAAGTAGCACTTTGACATGCAAAGAGCAACGTCTAACCTGACTCACCATTTCAGAAACCTTTCTCAAGCATTGGAAATTCAGATACAAAACAGCAGTGTTATGTGGTTTTATATTCAGAAACAGACATCCAATAAGTGCAAACAAGTGTTTAAATAGTGACAGTGCAGCTGTGCCCATTAGAGAAGACTGCTTATCCTGCTAGATGCAGCTTCACCTCAGACGGTGTGTCTGTCGGAGTACTGTCTACACTTGTCTTGTTGCTCTGTTAAATGGAGAAGACACTGCAGTCAGACACTCATTACTCTTTAACTGAAGAGAAGATGCACAAAGTCACTTGGGAGGGCCCACTAATCTGTTGTTGTTGTCAAAGCAAATTCTTTTCTCTGTTGTGTATGCATCATTTCATTACATAAGAACTCACTGCACTCAACTTGAAACAAAATGGAACGGATACCTCTGCTTTATGAAATATGAATAAGTAGTTTGGACTAAAAATGTATGTGTTAAATGAAATTTAGAGGCTATTTCTTTAAATCTTGTATTCCAGAATATCAGGCTTATTCAAAGGTCTGCTATTCTATCCTGTCCTTAATTGATTTTCTATTTCAGTTGTGCAACCAATATAGTTATAGGTACTGGAAGTGAAAAACTTTTTAAAAATTCTCATTGTTGTTAGACCTCCATTAGCAAATGTTTAGCCACTTAGTGACTGTAGAAACAAGCTGGAACACAGCACTGGCACATTATCAGGTTTTAAATCAATATGGCAAATGTGATAGAGTTACAGAGTAACGTTATCATTCATGTGGAGTCGCATGTGGAGTCATGTTTGTGGCCAGCAAGTACAGCTCTGTTGTGGTCACCAGCCCCTGAGAGAAATATCTGGGTGTTTAGCTGCTGAACATTCCACTGTGTTCTCCTACAGCTGTGTCTGTCTGCTGTTTGGTAGTGTACGGTTGGTTTTTATAGTATTTTTGTGCTTAACATCTGGGTACTACATCTGGGAAAATGCTGAATAGAGTGGTGAAACTGAGCCAAATAAGTAAAGCTACAGGCTGTAATACCAAAACCATAAGTTTACGAAGAATATCAATTATATTAGCAGGTAAAAACAATAGAAATGAAACAGTAAAATGTTTGATCACAGTACTTATAATTTTTTACTAACAGCTACACTAACAGTCAGACGCATGGACACACTTTCCCATTCAATTTAATGGGAAAGTGTGTCCATACCTCTGGTAGTGTAGGAGCCTGTACACCCCCCCAACCTGCCCTGGTTACACACTGGATGTGTAATGTTTGTCTTACCTAACAGCACTTGCTCAACTTCTTCACTCTCCTCCACAGCTACAGGTTTCAGCAGCAGGGCAAAAAACACAGCAACACCTAAAATCTGTGAACAAAATGAAGCCACAGAACATGTTTGGTAACTTGATGCACAGAAATATAAGAACACAAAAGTCTTTCAAGCACATTGTATTAATTTAGAGAAAACAAATATCTAAAAATAATGACATTGTGACTGTTATGACTAATGTAATGTGCCAGAAAGTGAAAACAATACATTTGCTGGACTAAATGCTGAATTAGCTACATTTTTAAGAGGATTCGTTTGATGCAGTTAAAGTTTTCCCATCTTTACCGACCTTGAGAGGCTGCAGTATAAAGATGCTCTGGAACAAGGAGAGGCCAAGAGACATAACCCACTTGATGGACTTTTCTCTCCCGTATTGAAAGCCGTACAACAGGGTGAAGAAAGTGGACACTCCACTGATGGACAGCAACAGGAACCATCCCAGGAACACACACCACCAGGGCAGCCAGCAGCCCACAGATGTCTTCCTCTTCTTCTTCACGGGAGCCGGGCTGTGCCAAGGACAAGGAAGGAATGAGAGGAAAGAGAGAAAAGAGATGAAACATGATTAAACTCTTTATTTCTATTTAAACTCTTCACAAAGCTTTTTGTTTTTGTGTCTATGTGTTGGCTGTAGTACTGACCATGAAGCCAGGTGGCAGCTGAAAACCATCTCAGCCTTGCGAACCAGCAAGTTGGTGGTGTTGAGGGCCTGCTTGTAATCTTGTGGACTTGGAAAGTTCTTCTCATCCACTTTCTCCAGGCACATCAGGAGGTGAGAGAGACTAGCTAGGAGGAATCTGCTGCAGTACATCCAGTGGGGGTCACTCTCAGTCTCTCCTGTGGCAAGATCACATGCAGACTAGCATATAATAACATTCCTCTACACAACAAGTTCAGTCCGGGCTCTTGAGGTTTCTTTCTATAAGTAGGAAGATATATGTTTGTCCTTGCTTCTTGCGCAAAGCAGAAAGGTTCACCAGCGATCACCGACAATATCCTTTAATCCTTTGTTGCATCAGAATACTTGGTATCTATGCCCTAAACATACCCTTTTATGCATACTTTTTGCCCTAATGCGTCTTTCTTAACCATCCAGATGCCCTATTTTTTGTATTTTTTGTTCATATATAATCTTGTTTTGGTTATTTGTCATTATAAATAAACAAAACTACCTTGCATGAGCTGAATGAATTCATGCACCCTGTCCAGGGCAAAGCACAGGTCAGCAGCGGACTCCAGCCTCTGCATCTCTGACATCTTGTTTCTTGGGCTTCTGCTCACCATAGAAATGACCTCCTCTGTATCCTGGGAAGGATGCACAACAACAATGCTGCATGTCGTGTCTACTCTTTGATCAAATACATAAAAAGTACATATTATAAAGTAAAAAGTTAGTAGGAGTCAAAGGCATACAGGGCACTTATACTCTACAGTAACTGCAACATAAACTGAACCTGT